GAGGCACGTAACTAACACACAGCTAATGTGTTAAAAGCTAGTTCTTGTGTTTTTGCGTGTGAGCGTGCCATGTCCGTGCGTTCACCTTATTCCCTGAAATCCCATGGAGGGTCACAATTAAGATGAGTAATGTATAATATGGTGGTAAGAAGACCAGTGACTCATTTGGCTGCACCTCGAGTACCACTTTGAGTTCTTACAATAATTTGACGTCTTCTGTGATATGTCACTACACAGATACACGGCAACGTAGAATTTATTTGTTAACCCTTTAACTCCCAGGAGTGATTAACATGTAACTTCTCCCTATAAGATTCATAAATTATCCAGGACACAGGTAACGAGAATACTTCAACCAATCATATAAACATTGTGATCCTCATTCAACACCAAATTCTGGTAACTAATGCACAAGGAAATGTCAAGTAGTAAGAGGGGAGAATTAACAAGCATATCTTAGGAGTAAAAGAGCTAATTATTTAGTTAGCAAGGTCAATACTTCATACGACATTTCCAATCTATGTTTACACAAACATTTTTCACAGTTTGCCCATTTGAACAAGTATCGGGGCTCGACAATAATAGTAGCCAACTATCTGCAGACTAGAAGAAATTCAGTTTTGGCTGGTGGTTTTCAATTTCCACAAGCCAGTTTGGCGGCTAGTAACCAAACTGGAATTGTCATAACATAAAATTTGTCACTAGCCACTTAGCGAGTAAGTTGAAAAGTTAGTGTCAAGCCCTGAAGTATGTATAATTTTTCAAGTGTATCTTCAGTTCATCTCAAAATAAACCATCAATATCAAACATTGTTCCTTTAGCTGTTATGTTTATCAATTATAAAATAATCATGATAAAAATAACCAAAAAAAGACAAAAAGTTGTAACATTTCTCTACGTCAAAGGACATTACTTAAATACTCAGAATATTGTGAAATCTAATTACATCTTTCTTATAAAAGCAAGCTTGGACATGCATCAAGGTAAGCACTCTAGCGTAACAGTACGTGACATCTGCTGTAAACACCAAGGGAAGAGGGTGGGCCATGGGACGGTCAAGGTTCAACTTCCTCCTACTAAACTACTAAAGCACCTATTTGGAATGAATGGTTTTTGCAGGAAGAAAAACTATCAAAAAGGTCATCTTCAAGTATCTGTTTTCCCGTTTAATTAATGTTCTGCACAAATGAGGAGCAAATGATGGACAGTGATTTGTAGGAAACCAATCCAAAACACTAGACGATTTTGTGTATACACGCGGGTTGTCTATTTCGTGGGAGTTTCAATACATTTCAGGTCTATAACGTTCGCACGCTGTAATATCAAAATTTACGGGCACAAATCAGTCAAATTACTCACCCGATGTACACTTTTAGGATCCTCTTTCCACGATATGTACATTTCTTCCACATAATTGCCGCTACTACCGTTTAAAAACGGTTCCTGAGCGACCAAAACCGCAGTTTGTTGCCATCTCTTGTGAAGCGAAAGCTTGCCATAACTCGCCAAGCGCTCCCGCAACAATCTCGCACATGTTCTTGCTGCATACATCATCGACACTTTCACGTTTTAAAACTCAAGTCCTAGTCCTTATTAGCAAGTGTTCAAATGTCATATAAGTCCTGTTTTGTTGATGAAGAAAGTGTGATGGATTTAACGAAAGCATTAAACTTCCGAGAGATTGGACTTTCGCCAGGTTAGTTTCCAGAGTGGCTGTGTAGCCCTTTATATTCGTCTCTCTTCGAAAACACAGCGGTTCTAAACGTACCAAAATCGTACGATCTCTGTAGTCGTTCTCTTGAAAGAAGTTTTTTCCTCTCAGAATAAGCCGCTTTTCATCAGCAATACAGATAAGGCATCACGAGCCTGTCTTCTTCGCAATACCCTCACAAAGTTTCCTCGCTCGTGCAGTGACGTCACATTGGATCACCAATCGATTACGCGACGTAAAAGTGGTCGGAGACTGTCACGTAAATTTCCATTTCAAAACAAGCGCTCCAGGAGTTAATCTTCGTCACGGAGGGGTGAATTTTTTTATTCATAGTAAGACTATTATTAATCTGTAAGTCTTAATAAAATTTTTCAAAGACAGATCAACCCAGAACAGAGGTACATAGAATATTCATTTCGTGACAGACAACGATTTGAAATCGGACCCAAGCTCTTCGCGGGATTTTCAAAAACAAAAAATGGCGACCTCCTCTGAAGGTTGAAGTGAGTTGTCTAAAAATTTTACCATTTTGTTAACAAAAATGAGTAAACGAAAAGCGCCTGAACAGAACCCAAACAGTGATTTTTGCGATTTCCTTACCGGTGAGTAGTTTCTATCGTCTAAATTTAAAATAGTTTGGTGTAGATATTAGACTTGGCGCCAACAGGCCAACAAAATATTGAAAACAAATTTGCGGTTTCTCATGAAGAGCTTGCAGAATACGAAAAGAACGTGTCAAGACAAATACACAAGCATAATGCATACAGGTGGGTATACGGGAAGTTATAATTTTTTTTAATATCTGTTTTTTATCTTTTTTTTTTAGTTGTGGGGTATATGAATTTTGGAAGTTTGCTCTAGGGATATTGCATTATTGTTTCTCTTAACAGAGTGTAAATAAGCCTGACTAAAGCTGATATTAGCATGTAGTTTTGTAGCATGAATATATTAATTCAATGCAGTGTTATATATAAATATGTAAAATCAATCATTAAATCTGTCTGATGAGTGTGTAAGCACGAAACTCCAAATAACAGAAACCATGTGTCATCTTGTTTGATCGCCATGTAAGGTATGTAATAGGCCGTGAACAGAGACGGCAGACAACGAGAATAAAAGCACGTGTAGTTTAATGGCGAACTGAAACAGAAGATCAAAACAAGCCTGTCAAGACTGACGGGTAACATGCGTGACGTGTGACAGGCAACAGTATCGGCTAGTTCCTCACATAAATTCAGTGTTATAAATATAGAAGTTTAATGTTATAAATATGTTAATTCAATGTTTTAAGGTGGCAAACAAAGTCTTTGGTATTATACTATGCCATCTACACAAGTTGTGCATTCATAGTGTTTTCTAATGTGGGACTTTTCTTGCTTCAAACATGAATGAGTATTGAGACAAGACAAGACAAGCTTTGTTTTTTTTTTAAAGACCGAAAGTTATTCAGCAACTCAATGGTCTAATTTCCCATACTCCTGTATGGTATGATTAATTCTATTTTAAACATGAACTGCAGTTACGTATGGCACGATCCTCGCAGTAGATAGCGCTATTTAAGCAATAGAGAAAATCAGACCTGAAGGATCGTGCCATACGTATCTAATACCACAGTTCAAAATATATGAACTTCATATATTTCATTGTATCTGATGAACTGCAGTTGTTAATTAAAACTGGAATGCTAGACTGGTCCAGGTCTTAGTGACTTTGGCTCGATCTATTCTAAGAATGACAGGGGTC